TCGCGGCGCCAATATTTTCCCCAGAATAACGACGGGCTTCAAAACTTTGTTTTGCTATCCTTCCACGTAAAAGCTTGACAATGCTGCATTAAAAAAATTAAAAAATCGCGATTTTTCGATGGAAATCGTCTTTGTTTGCCCAAAATCTCACTGAAAATTTTTTCGACGTGCTTTTTATTGTTTTAGACATGAAATATGGCCGCATTTTTCTAAACACCTTGAAAAACTGCTTTTACATTACTAGGCCTTTTAGAGACTGTAAAATCCCCCCCCCCCCTCCACATATTGCGAAAGCATGCAATAATTTTCTATTTGAGGTCCCGGACGTCTACGATGCTGACGAGCGTGAAAAGGCGCGGGCGGCACGCATCAGCGACGGGCAGCTGAATGCCGATCGTGGAAAAGCTGCTCGAAAGCTGGCCGCTAAAAGCAATGTTAGAATCTCTGATTTTTGCTATTTTATCGTTTCCAGATGCCAGTGCTTATCGTCCGCCTCGGAGCTGCCGAGCGTCGCGGCATTTTGAGCGGATTTGACATCATCGCGCCACGTGGCTTCGGTAGCCTCCCCTTTTTTGCCCAGAAAACATATTTTAGCCCGAGATATCTGGCGGGCGCTGCAGATGCGAAATTGCCGGTCGATGTCGTTGCGAGACTACCGTGCAGCCCACCTCGAGATCCAAGCGCCGTATTTCCCGGAGGATCGCGTCGATTTTGTGGGGTACAGGGATCTGGCCAGGGAAGACACGTTACGAGTTGAGGTAAATTTTGCCGGAATTTGGCCAAATTTATTCGGAAAAAATTATTAGAGAATATAACTATATTTCCATTAGATAAACGATGTAAAAAGCTTTAAAAGCCGCTTAGTTGAAGTTTTGTTAAAAGTCGCCAATTTTTGTATAGGTCCGGTAATATCTGGTTAGTAGGCGTTTTCATAGGATTTCTATCAAAATGTATATCAATTTCTATCAAATTTTTTAGTCGAAATTTTGGTCGAATCGGGCATTTTTGGACGAAAAATCCATATTTTCGTTTTTTTTTTACAAAAATGTGTAAAGTTTATGGTTTTGGAATAGTAAAAACCAGTTTTGAAACATTTCCGCTGTTGATATTAGAGAAATTCGCCCCTCTCCGATAACGCAAAAGTTATTAATGTCTTTTGCGTTGAAATATCTATTTTACAGACCCGATACCACGCGCGTCCACCCCACGAAAGGTCCAATTTTGTCGACCTCGGCGTCCCGTTCCCGTTCTGCTTCGAGTGGGAATTGCTCTGGAAAGAGCTGATGGGCCATCAAGGTGAAACCGGTGTTAAAATATAAAATATCACGTATTTTTTAGAATGCCGAGTGCCTCGTCAATTTTACGTCGATCCAAAACCCGACGATTGTCTGTTGCCGATTCGCATTGTCATGCTGGCCGGGTCACTTCCGGAAAAGTATTTTTTCAAGCTTGTAAAGTTTTTGGGTTACAGAATAGTAAAAAACAGTTCAGAAACACTTCCGCTATTTATCGCAGAACTGGGTCCTAAGAAAAAAGTTTCCCCTCCCCCCCGATAATGCCAAAGAAACAAAATTATACATTTAGTCGGATTTAATACGAATAACACTATTTTATTTCAGATTCTCGTTGATCTGCGCCCCAAATATCGAGGAGAAACGCCGAATTCTGCAGGGCGATCGCTCGTTGACCCTAGAAGAAGTCCCAAGGAAAAAGAAGAAGCTGGCCGAAGCCCCAGAAAAACCTGTATTTTCTACCAAATTAAAATTATGATGTTTCTAGATTCCTGTGCGCCCAAAAGACCCCCTGAGCGGGTTTGTCGAGCTGGACGTCACCAAGAAGGAGCAAAACGCGCCCATCCGTCCGCTTTTCGGCTTATCGAGGACGCTCACCAAGTAGATTTACAAAGCTAAAAACGAAATTTTATTATTTTAGAAAAAACGCCTCGCTTCTGGAGCTGCCGAAAAAGGCGGACGCGAAGCGAAAGGTGGCAAAGAAAGGGGCTGCCAAGAAAACTGAAGAAGAAGGAAAAGAAGACAAACCCCGGCCGTATCACAGCACTTGTTCTCGGTGGGTTTTTCTAGTTTTTGTGAATAAATTATCTCGATTCTTTAAACTTTGACTGACCGCATTTTTTAAATTAAAATCACTGAATTTGTAAAATTTACATAGTTATTGCAAATTTTAATTGTCTTCTAGTGAGATTGAACTATATTTCAGGCCGAAAAATCACATCAAAATGTTAGAAATGTTAAAATAGTTGGAATGTTAGTCAAAATTAAGTTATTTTGGGCTGAAAAAATTAATATTTTTAGTATTTTTAACGAAATTTGTACAGTTTTTACATTTAGGGATACTAAAAAAAATGATACAGGAACTACTAAAAAACCAAAATCCCTTTTAGAACGATTATCGGCCGAGTGGTGCGTGGCGGTCGTTCTCAAAGTACACTCTCCGGCGTGGGATACGGCTACGTGCCCCACAAGCTCTTCAAGCAGTTGCCGATGATGGTCAGATTTTTTCAACTATAAATTTACCGATTTTCAATTCAGCACGACGGCGCGGTGGCCTGGATTCGAACGAACAACTCGGTGCACTACCACTTGGCCAAGCTCACCATCGACCCGGCGCCGCATATCGATTTTTAATTTGTTTTTTTTTCCTGTTGTCCTTGTGGCTTATTACCTGTTTTCTTGTTTCTAGAAATTGTGGGATTTATTACGGGTCCCGATTTAGTGACTTTCCAATGTTGTTGTTATCTGTTCTTGTTGCGTTGATTGTTTTGAATTTGCTGTTTACTAATAAACTATCCGAAGCACGCCAAAAACGTCACAATTCGTTCTTGCGTTACGGTTATCCACAGACAAACCATTGAACAACGAGCCAGAATTTCTTCGTATTGGATTCATCATAAAAGCTTGTAGAAATCCATAAATTTGCTTTATGGGCCCGTAGAAGTTCATTTTGCGCCTGCGCTTTTTCCAACGATTTTGCTGTGTTCTTTAGCGGAAAAACTTGTAGCATTTTTTACGGACCGCTGAAGCTACGTTGGGGTTTTCGCTGCTTTTACCGAAAAAGAAGTTTTAGTTCAACGTAGTTCACGTCCGTTATAGGAATTAGCCAAAAAGCTTGTAGAATTTTACGGGCTTGCTGCGCTTTCACTGCCCAACGATAAGCCCGTACTTTTTCGGAATTTGCCGGAAAGCTTGTAGAATGACCGAAACGTTGTGCTCACGTTTCTTTTACGTACAAAAAAGTTTCAGCTTCGCCGCTTCAATTTCGCTGGGATTTGGCGTTAGATCCGACTAAATTGAGCTCAATCTCATGAGATTCGTGAGATTCAATGCTTCTTTTTCGCTAATTCATTCCGGAAACGAAAGCTGCGCCTTTTATAACCCAAAATTACAGCTTCTTCGGATTTGACCGGTTTTGCTGGTTCGTAGAAAGTTGGTTGCGGACTGTTGCTACCCTGTTTATACTCACGAAAAGCGGATTTTCGAAAGATAAGCCTCAATTTCGCTGGAATTTAGATTTCCCAGCAAATCCGGCTAAATTCAGATTGATGAGGCTTCTGCTAAATTTTTCCGGCTAAGCCAATCCGGAAATGAACGCGGTGGCCTTGAGAACCGGGGGCCCAACCCGGGCATTAGTGTCTGAATGGGCAAACACACCACATGCTCCTCCTCATCCAAAAGGGCGCTATTGCGGTTTGCTGGCCCCACTTATATCGGGCCAAAACCAAATGTTTCTGGGCTAGTTTTTTGCGCTGATTACGAAAAACACTACCGCACACCGTAAAAACGTGCGTTAGTATAAATTTTAGATACATATATATGTTCTATACCAATTTATACTGGTTCACGGCACTCGCCCACAAGGCAGTTGGTATGATAAATTTGATAAATAATAACCAGAAACTAATTTCCCGCGCAGAAGTAGGCTTGTGGCATTGTCAGGCAAGGTGGGCCGTCGCTCTGGCCGCTACGCGCGCCTCGGGCGCCCCGATTTCGAAACTCTGTACGAGCTCGCACCCATCCGAAGCGACTAGGCCCCGGGTGGCACGAAGCCTTATTTTTAGGTAAAAACGGTTGCAATGAATCTTCTTGGAAATAGTTGTTCCACCAGGGTACAGGTCTTTCAATTCAAAAACTTAGTTTACCCGGCGCAAACCCAAACCTAAAAAAAATGAAATTTAGTTAGGTTTCCTGGAAAACAGAACTTTCGCGAATCGGGATGATGTTTTTCGTAATCAGCGCAAAAAACTAGCCCAGAAACATTTGGCTTTGGCCCGATATAAGTGGGGCCAGCAAACCGCAATAGCGCCCTGCTGCTTGGTGCTTTTCAAGAAGCCGTCTGTTTTTTCTGCTTTGTTTTGACTTTTGCTGTCTTCTTTTTCACGATGCTCGACCTGACTCTCGCAATTTTCAGGTAAACTAAACCACCTCGGGCCGAGATTTGCGCCGAAAAGCACGAAGTCTGCTCATCGACTTGAGGTCCGGTTTTTTCGTTTGTTTTTGCATTTTAAAACTCTATCTTTTGGTGATTTTTACGGCCAAATACTCTTTTACCGTCGAGGATATGTCTATTTCGATTTCGCGTCAAAAACCTGCCTAGAAATACCGCTTTGTAGGAATTTCTCTCAATTTCTCCCGATCTCAATTTCTCGTCAAAATTATCCTGCAACAATGATCTTTATAGTTATTTTGAGCCTGATTCCGAATTTTCGGCCGCCAAAAACATCTGTAATCTGTCTACAAATCTCTTGTCTCGTTTTGCTGTCAAAAATGACGCTGCAAAAAGGTTTTTTAGAGCTGTTTTCAGCCTATTTTACAATTTATAAGCCGCTAAAAATGTTTTTTTTTTACTTTAAAAACATGATTTTGGGATTCAGTTAATCGTCTTGCTATTAAAAATAAGGATATACCGATTTCGCATCAAAAACAACTTTATAAAGAAATTGTTGGTGATTTTGCCTTATTAATTCCCCATTTTTCAGGCCAGCCATGCCTCTCCCCGGCTCCGTCGAGCTGAAGCGCCCGGACCTGAAGGGTGAATTCACGTGCGGTGCGTGCCGCAAGAGCTTCTGCCACATCTCCAGCCTCAACCGCCACCGCGTCAACTTCCACTCTTCGAACCGTCACTGTCGTCTCTGCGATGCCCCGATTCCCGTCGACGAACACTTGCGCTCCCACATGTCACAACGGCATCAAATTGAGCAAGTCTTCACGTGCAGCTGCTGCAATTGGGCATTCCCCGACAAGAAGCAGCTGAATATGCACATCTATTCGATGTCCAAGACCGGCCAGCCGGGCCCCGCCAACGTCATTGCGACTGTGGATTTGGAGCCGGGTAAGATTTTGAATATTGCCTTTTGTGGGATCTTTAAAATCGCCGCGCAAAGCTAAAAAGTAATTTATTAATGGAAATTTTTACACATTTTTTGAAAAGTTTCACTCTTGCCGATCATCTTCTAAAAAAAGCGTTTTCGAAAAATCTCTTGGGTTCTTTCGCATGATCGCCCCGATCCAGATTTTTGCCTAATAAAGAAAAGTGTTCCTAAACAGTTTTTCCTATTCCATAATTTAAACCTCGAAAAACTTTAGTAGAAAATATGCATTTTCACGAATTTTTGCGATTGGGTAGCGAAATCAATTTAATGCCAAATTTTAGGAGCCTTCGCGGTCGAACGTCCGCCTAGTCGACGCGCTTCCGGACCGGCGCCCAAAAGTCGACAGCAAGCCGCGCGGAAAGTCGAGGCCCCAGCTGCCGAAGCTACCGAAAATCCAGTCCCAGCTTTGGCCGACGCCGTGCAGAATATCATCGTTCAGATGGTAAAAACAGCTTGTTTCGGAAAACCTGGCATTTTTAGCTGGCCACACAGCTGCGGTTGAGGGCCAACGGTGAGGCGCCGGCCGCCTGGTTCGACGCTTTTCTCGCCAACAATCCGGCGCTGGCCGCACTCGCTACTGATTCCACTATCATGGTCAGCTTTTTAAACTTAAAAACTTCTGCTCTTTTGCACCGGGGAAAATCCTCAAAAATCAAAACTGCAAAATGGCTGTACTATCGTTAGCGGGGGAGGAAAAGTCGTATTATAAGCCTAAATAAGCGTGGTACTTATATAAAAATTTTTTTACAATGGTAGGATCTCAAAAAGTTCAAAAATTGCAATTGTTTGCTTTTTCTAGTCATTTTTCTGCATTCTACGCCGATCACCGTTTTCCTACAAATTTAACGTTTTTAAGATGATGTTTTCATTGGGATAAACGGCTAATAATGCCATAAACATCGTTTATATTTCGTTTTGAGGCGCTCGCCCGCCCGGAGAGCCAGGCGACCGACACTTCCGACAGCGGTGATGACCAATCAACCGCGGCGCCGAGTCCTTCTACCAGCCAAATCGCCACTCAAAAGGTTTGACCCGAAAAATCCTATAAATTCTTTTTTTTCAGTTTTCCGACGCTCCACTATCGATTGAGCTGCCATCCCCGTCATCGCAAGCCTCAACCTCTCGGCCATTTCTGAAGCGGAATCGACCGACTCCACGGCCAGCGGAACGAAGCGGAAGCGAACCCTCGATGACATAGCCTCATCTTTGGCCAAGAAAAAGGTTATCGATTTCTAAAGTTGATTCTTTAGACGTATCTTTTCACTTTTATCGTTGTCACTTTCCACGAGCTTCACTTATCCCCCTTGAAAAACACGGTTTCTGGCTGATTGCCGATCTCTAAAAGTGCATAATTATTCATTTGTTAAACTTGTTATTGGCTTGTTGATCTCTTTTCATCCCACCATTTCACAAACACTTTCGGCCCGTTTTCTCACTTTTCATGTTGTCACTTTTGCGTTGTCACAAGTGTTGAAATAAAAAGTTTGCAAATCAAAATGCAGGATATCGAGTAGTTAGCAGCTTTACGCAGTATATTCAAAAACTTTGGCTTTTTCATTAAGAAACGAACAAATTGGGGTTCTTCGTTTGGCGGTTCGGTGGGGGACTTGTTAGTTTTGGAGATTTTTCCACTAATTCTGTACGCACTTTTTGATAGCATTCTTATAACATTTTACGCAGTTTTTAGGTATGAGAGGCTGATCAAAATTCTTAAATTTTTCGAAAATGTATACCGTATTTCCTCTAATATAACCCCGGGGATTATATTTTTGGAATCACCCCAGGGGAGGGGGTTGTATTAGAGGGAGGGAAATATTTTTCGTGATTTTGAGCAATTACAACGATTTCGAGCAGTTCAAACTGCTCGCAACTACTCAGCAACGCAATATGAAGCTTAAACAAAAACGTTTTTGGCATTTTTTACTTCTTGGAGGCAAGTTCAAAAAATTTTTTGGGGGAGGGGGTTATATTAGAGGAAATACGGTAACTTTTTGGAAAAAATGCATTAAATTACCCAAAGTGCAGAATTTTCAAATTTTCAAGTATTTTGCCCCTAAAAACGATCTGCCTATTTGGTTTTTCAGAACGGTTCCTATCGCGTCACGCGCTGCCCGCGAATGTTGCCCAGCTGGGAACAACCGAGGCAGAAGAGCCCGACAAAGAACGAACGACTGTGGCCAGCGAATTATGGTGGGTAGCTTTGCTTGACTTCCCGTCACGTTAAGAGCGTGGCGACGAGATTTGCGTTGCTTTTTGACAATTTCCTGGGGGTTGTAAATGGAAAAAAAACAGCGGAAACGCTAGAAACTTTTGCCATTCGAAAATGTCTTCTTTTCCGAGATTCGGGGCTTATTAATACCTGCACCCCGAAATCCTCGTGGATTTTGGAAGGCCGGCGGTTTTTCTAGAAGTTGGAAATGACTGAAAATGAGCTGCACAAACGTTAAAATTTTTTTTTGCTACCGAAATATTAGTGACTGATGGGTAGAGGCGGAAAATAAAAAATTAGCTTCCCCCGATTAAACGGCAAGAACACAAATTTGATTATTTAGGACAGGATAAGCTGATGGCCTGGGAGCAGCCGATGCAAAAGAGCCCGACAAAGAACGAACGACTGTGGCCGGCGAATTATGGTGGGTGGCTTTGTCTGACTTCCGATGACGTCACTTTATAAACGTAGGGTCAAAATGGGCAAAAAGAAGCTGCGGAAACGCTAGAAACTTTTGCATTCGAAAATTCCCATTTTCCAAGATTTAGGGCTTTTGTTAAAACCTTTACCCGAAAGCCTCGTGGATTTTGGATGACCTGAAAAGATTGAAAATTTTCTGCGCAAGCGTTAAGGGTTCTTTTACTGCGGAAATTTGCGTTTTTATGAAAATTTCTATGGAAATGAAAAGATGCAGGGTTTTATCCGTTAATTTTGGCGCCCCACTTGTTTTTGTGGACGTTCGAAATGAGTAAAAAAGCTGCGGAAACGTTGAAAACTTTTGTGTTCGAAAATTGAAAAGCTGACGCCGATTGTCGCGCCAACTTTTGCAGAATTAAGGCCGTTTAGAGAAGCAATGATTATTCCGATCAATCAACCAATTTTCAGGCACGATGCTAGCGCTCGGATCAACCTCGCTGGACGGACTGATGGTCTGCCTCACCGACTACAGCCACGACAAGTCCGAAGACCGCCCGCTCCTCGCCAACCTGCCGCGCCTGCAGGTCGTCAGGGCGCACGAGCTCGTCGGCGTGGATACGGTACGTTTTTGAGGTGTTTTTACCCGGAAAAATGGCTGTATCTTCTCTAAAAATCGATTTAATGAAGGTTTCCTTCTTATTTTTGCTTTTTTTGGTACTGGACTGTTAGCAGCTTTTATTTTTGCCGCCTATTCTTTCTTGATAATATATAAATGCAGTTTTATAGTGTTTTTAGTAGTTTTTGACTGCTAAAACGCTTTAAAAAACCTTTTTGAAGTTTGAAAATTCGAAAATTTTAATCTTTTGGTCACTTTTCATAAATTTTTTATCAAAGTCAAAAATTTCGAAAATTTTATTATTTTTTATAAGTGTTTCTATAGCGAAAAACTGCATGGAATGCTATAAAAATGCCTTATATTTCGTTATCGGGCCGTATGGAAAGGCTGGGGAAAATTTGTTCCCCCCGCTAACACCGCTAACAAGGGAAGTGCACGAACTTAAGGTGGTCTTTCTTTTTCAAAATAAGTGGGTCTGATAGTCGAACACGGGGTTCCGACTGTAATCAGAATCTGCAAATAAAACGGGGATATGAGCCAAAGTTGGCAAATCGACAAAACGGTACCTTTAGCGGCCTGTAAAGCGCGGAAGCGGAATTGAGCAAAAACCGATTGGTGCATCTTGTTCAGCAGGAAAAGCTCTTTCGAATGAGCCTTAATATGTAGCAATTACAGATAATTTGTCAAAAAGCTTCTTTTAATTCATGGTAAGGTAGAGCCTGTGGAAGTCATAGAAGAGATTTCCGCGAAATCATCGTATACTTTTTGAATGATAGCTCATTCGAAAGAGCTTTTTCTGCTGAACAGATGCACCAATCGGTTTTTGCCATTCCGCTGCCGCGCCTTTTACAGGCCGCTAAAGGCACCGTTTTTGTCGATTTTGCCAACTTTGAAGCCTCCTAACTTTTTTCTCCATTTTATTTGCGATTCTGATTACAGATTCGGAATCCCCGTGTTCGACTCTATCAGACCCACTTATTTTGAAAAAGAATGGCCACCTTAAGTTCGTGCACTTCCCTTGTAAGTTCCTTTTATTTTCCAGGTGGCCCGCTTCTACTTGACGGCCGAGTGGACGGTGGAAGAGAGCGGCATCCTCAACACCAAGTACCCAAAGGAATTCGGCCAACCTCTGGCTACCAAATGCATCAACGGACAGCGCGTGCCATCGGTAGTTTTTCAACGCATTAAAATATTCAATTTTTCGTATTTCAGCTGCGCTCCCGCATCACGTTTGCCCGGAAAGCCGGCCTTCTTGGGCATGACGTGGCCGACCCGCAGAACTGCTGGTCCCCGGATGTCGGCCGTGTCCAGGCCCAACCCGGCAGCTACACGCCCTTCGTCGCCTACGATTGCACCCTCATTTGGTAGGCGTTTTTGGCAACCGATACCTAATTTATGTCTTTTTTTAGCGAATACACGATGCCACGGCCGCCCTTCACGAAGTCGGCGCCAAATTCGGGGTTCACATGGAAGGCCGTCGACATCGCACTAGCCGCTGATCAGCAACGAGCGGCCGTCGATTTTATGAAGGTTTTTTCGAGTTTCTAGACTTTATAAAGCTATTTTTAGTACGAGTTCACGCCGCCGTCACCTTTGGAATTTCGACTGCTCGCTAACGAGCGCTGGAATGAGGCGCAAAAGAAGGACAGACCCGCATTCTTTCGGCGACTTATGTGCAAGGGAAGATCAATTTTGGTATATCAAATTTAGAGGAAGTGTTGTTACAGAATTTTACTATTCCTTGGCATAAAAATATCAAATTTTTGTGAATGCTAAAAATTAAAATTTTAAAGGAAATGGCTGATTTTTTGGGGCTGGACTGTTATTTTTACCTCTGGGTAATATATAATGTTATTTTATAATTTTTAGGCTAGAAAGTTATATTATATAGCTTAAAATGTCGAAATTTTGAGGATGATTAAGATGTTTTAGCGTCTAAAAACTGTGGAAAACGCCATTAAATGATTTAGATTTGGTTGTTTTCGGGATTACTGAGATAAATTAGTTCCCCCTGCTAAGAGCTCAGTACCGAATTTTGGCCAAAAACTCAAAGTTTAAATTTTTTCTGACGTTTTGCTTTGTGTTTCAGCTCTAAATCTGGCTAAGTTTTATGAAGAAACATTAAAAATTATTTACATTAAAAAACAGGAATATCCAAAACCATAAAAAAACGGTTATGATATTTTATTTTGAAAAGTTTTTTTCAGGAGGTCATCTACAAAGCTCGATACGTCAACGACTTCGATTTACGCTGTTATGCTGTGGTAATTCCGCTGGCCAATATAATATGCTATTTTTAGGGCGAAGGTATGGATTTCGGGGTGATGATCGACGTCAATACCGTATTCGATGGAGAGCAGGCCTTCCCAGTCGAAAATCCGAATCCGTACGCCCTGCTCGTCGGCTGCATCTACGACAACTCGGAGCTGGGCGAGACTAAAGTGGTGAGGATTTTTGAGGTTTAAATTGAAAAACCGAACTTTAATTTAGATTTAATTTTGTATTTTAATATTTTTTCAGTCGATTCTTCCCGAATTCCGGAGCCGCTACCTGAAGGCGCGACGCCTAGACCCGATCAAGCCGGGCGAACACCGCATTTTAGTAGGTTTTTTTTGAGAAATTTGAACTATTTTCTCGACTGTAAAATTTATTCGGTTCTTTGGCATTATCGGGGGGGGGGGGGGAATCTGTTCCTATAAACTCAAAACCAAATTTTTTTTTTCCGATAAGTCAAATCGTCCAGAAATCCAGCGCATTTTTATTCTGAAAAATATCGATGGTTTTGGTATTTTTACGTAAAGATTTGTAATGTTTTGACGTTTAGGAATGGTAAAAAACGGTTTAGAAACACTTCAGCAATTTTTATTAATAAAATGCGTCCCTTAGAATAACTTTGTCCTCCCCCCCCCGATAATGCGAAAGAACCTTTTTTTGTTGTTTTTTTGAAGTTAAGTTTTGAATCAAAAAATTAAAAAATGAAATGAAATGAGAAATTGTTGAAAAAGTTTATTATGATTTTATTTTTGCTATTCAACGCCCGATTTTCAGATCTCCGAGCAAGTGCGCGTGGTGTATGATGATGACGACGAGGGAGAGCCCCTGGAATATCTGGACCAATCGATGGATGAGGAGGACAAATACGATCGATGCGTCTGGATCAAGCCATCGTTTCTCGACCGGGAAATGGTAGAAGCGGGCGGAACTCCGAGGGAGATTCGACGCTGGATGAAGCATCCCGATCGCCGCATTCATCCCAATCATGTCCCATTCGAGTTTTGGGAGCAGAAGCCGAAAATGGTGGGTTTTTTGACTCCTAAAGAATCTACGCTAGCTTACTCGTTTTTCCTAAAAGTTCTCCGCTAGTTTGCCTCCACGGTTTTGATGGTGGAATCTTTCCACAAATTCTCTCTGCTGGCATGCCTCACAAATTCCTTTTTCTAGGTCGTCCTCGAATGGATCCTGACGCGAAAGGCTGACGGCATCCTGGAAATCTGGCAGAATTCGGCTTCCCTGGTTAAATCGGAGCTGAGTGATGAGGTTTATTTTAATTATTTGATTTCGAAATTTCGCTTTTATTAATTAAGGTGAAAATTAATCTTGCATTTTTATGTCTAATTTTCTGGTTTTTTTTAAGCTAAGCGGCTCCTCAATTCGGGTTTTTATATACTTTAATTAATCTTTGCAATTTTTGCATTTCTATCTTTTTTATTTCTAGAAAAGCGCTGCCACTTTAATTAATTTTTGTAATCTATGTACTTATATATTTTTTTTATTTTTCAGAAAAAGCGGCGCCACGATTCTGGCTTCTACGCGCACCAGGAGCGGATGTGCTATCAGCCGATAGACGATCAGAAGCTCTCGATCAAGGGGCTTATCGTGGCCAAGAAGCAGGATGAAGCCATCGTATGGCCATGTATGCCGAAGGGAGGATGGCCCGGAGCTGCACTCATCGATAGGCAGTACGTTTTTAAGCGGGCTAGCTAGCGGAGAAAATTGGGGAAATTCTTGCGCCAGCTAGCAGGGATCGTTGGGGAAGATTCGGGCGAGTTTCAGTGGGCTAGCAGAGTCCATTTGCGGAAATATTTGCAATCTAGCAAGTGGGGTTTCGGAAAACGGCGTGCTTTCAGAAATGGGCGTACTAGCAGCGATTTTTGGGGAATTGACGCAAATGGCGGGGCGAGCTAGCAAAGTTAATTTGAGAAAAATCGGGGTAAAATTGGTAGGCTAGCAGAGTTTTTTTGGAATGAATGACGGACTCCCTGAAATGGGCGTACTAGCAGCGATTTTTGTGGAAGTTCGTGAGAAGCTTGCATGGTTCATTTGGGAAATGGGCTGGCAAGCTTGCAGAGGCCATTGCGGAAAATGACATATCTTTCGAATCGGGCATACTAGCGGAGGTTCTTGAGGAAATTCTTGTCCAGGCTAGCAGCGTTCATTAGGGAAAGCTAAAAGGCGGGCTGGCAGTGTTTATTTGAGGAAAACTAGCACTTTTAAGAAATTTTTAAGTCTCCTTTTTTAGATTCCTCCCAGACGGCGCCGTCGTTGGTGATGAGGTCTCGTTCTTCGCCGTCCGGACGAAGCGCATCGGCCGCTCCGATCCACTCGACATTGGACTCGTGGCTGTTTGCGAAAAGGTGAAAATATGGAATTTTATTGCGTAATTGGTTCGCATCCCATTACGCGTGTAAATTCTACCTTTGAAAAAAGCGTTTTTGCCAATTAAATTAATAATAAACCCAATTTCCCCTGCCTCTTTACCTATGAAAAGCGGCTAAATAGATTATGCATTATTATTATGCTGCTTATCTGTCAATACATATTTTTGAAAATAAATACTTTTAAAATGCGAGTTTTGTGGCCAATCAATTACGCCATTAAAAACCTCGATTTCCCGAAACTCATGATTTTTACATTTTTTTAGCTGATCGACTGGCAGCCGCGCCGCAACCTCGACCCCACGTGGCGCCTCAGCCAACGCCTGGCCACCGGCGAGATTACGGTAATTCGTAGTTTTTATAGTTGATACGACGGGCTTTCTTTTAGCGCACCTTCCGCTTCTGCATCCGCGATAATGAGCCGAATTTCTGGGACCCGCAGCCGCAGCTCAACCTCCACGGCGAAAAGGTAGGAAAGGTTTAAAGGGATTGGCAAGTTATGGCTATCGATTTGTTGTGGGTTTTAGCGCGACCGCGAGACGCAACGCGTCCGCAGCCTTTCCACGCGTAATAAATTACGACACTTTACGGCAATCAATATAAATGGTTGTTTCGATGACCTTTCGCATTACCGGGGGGGGGGGACGAACTTTTTTCTAAGGATCCAGTTTTGAGAAGTTTTTCTAGACCCTTTTTATTACTATTCCTAAGCGTAAAAACTTTACAAGTTTTGATGAAAACGCACAAAAATATCGTTCTTTCGAGCAATGTTTTAACAACATTTTTAAACGTTTTTCTGCTTGTTTCTGGCTTAAAATATGGTTAACTTTGGCAAAAGACACTATTAAAAAGCTTACTATTACGTTACTGGACGGTTCTGGACTTTAGAACACCACCCCCCCGATAATGCCAAAGACCCAATCGTCCATGAGGGAACAAGGCCTGGAGAGAGATTCTTTAAGAATTTTACGGCTACCGCAGCACGCGACGCGACGCTACGCTTGCGATTCTATTGCGTAATCGATTAGGCCGGCTTTTGTGGATTACGTAATCGATTATCACGCGCGTTGTGTCTCGCGGCCGTGCCAAAAATCCACGAAAACCCTATAGCTTTGCCTTACCAATCCCTTGATCTTTCTTGCTTAATTTTTAATTCCTTTTTCCAGGACCTGCTGATCGTGGAAAGCGCGTACGGCTACCGGGTGCTGGTGTGCAACGAAAAAGAAAAGACGCTCATCATCGACATCAAGAACTTTGTCAAGCGGCACGCGTTCGGAATCTTGGAGGTACGCTGAAATTCGTCTTTTTGATTGCGTCTTGTATTTTCAGGAAGAGATCCGCCTGCCGTGTATCTTGCAGCCGTCGCCGATCCATGGCGGACGCACGCCCACCCCGCTACGCCTCGATACAGGATACGGCACCGTCGAGGTACCGGATAATTTTGTGTTTTTATTGATTAAAACTGTTATTTTAAAAGTGGAAATTATCGAATTTTGTTATCCCAATTAGGTTCTTTTTGCATTATCGGGTGAGGGCAACTTTTTTCTAAGGATTGACTTTTCTTATCTGAATATCGCGAGTGTTTCTAAACTGCTTCACGCTATTCTTCTATTATTCATCCCAAAACTTTACAAATTTGGTTAAAAAACCAAAAATTGTGATTTTCGATCAAAATGCCGATTTTCGACCTAGGTATTACCTACAAATTTTGACTTTTTGTGTCTTTCTACTTAAAATATAGTTAAATTTTAGTAAAAATACTATTAAAAATCCTTGATGTCATATGACTAGGAAAAAATTTCTAGAATAAAATTTAGCCCCCCCCTATAATGCAAAAGATCCACCCCCGAAACTTTGAGCCAATTTAAAATGTGCAGTTATTGAGATTCTGTGCGATTAGTTCGAATTTTTTTGACTACTATGCAAGTTTTTGCGGATCAAAAAATTATACAAATTGCCACTATTTATACCCTTTTTTCAGCTACTCTCCAAGCTGACGACGAGGTTGTCCGAAGATCTCGAGACGATGAAGCAGTACCAAAGCGACATCAGCTGAACCGCTCGAATATTTTGTCATTTCCCCGCCATTTAAAATGTTTTTTTCATCGATTCCTGTATTGAAATTTCGCTTGTTATTTTGCTATTTTGCTGACGCACAGCACTCTCTGATTGATTTCCGTTGATTCTCAATTAATTTGTTACGTTTTGGTCTCTAGAAAAATCGGTATTTCTTCTTGCTTGTTACATAGAAAGTTGTTAATAAATGGATTAAAATGTTTGCATACAAACAGTAAAGTTTTGATCTAATCGAATATCAGCGCGTAATTGTTTCTTGCATTGCTGTTGAGCTTTCTAGTTAGTTTTGTAAGAAAAAGCTTCTATTAGGTTGGACCATAAGTTCGTACAATCGAACTTCGGAAATTTCTTTCTAAAATTTTTGTGGGCCAATATTAATGTTTCTTTTCCCCCATATTGGCGGAGTTTAATAGTTTGTGGGATCCGATTTACAAGATTTTAGCCGCAGTAGTTTTTATTATTTTTGCGTTTCTCTAGGAGGCGTCTCAAATTTTTGACCCCGACATCTTTCAGGAGCACCATAACTTTACCATAGCATAGAGGCGCCAGCAAAATGATACCTTTTAGCTACTATTTAAATGCTGAAATATGCAAAAAAGATAAATTGGAACTGTTTTCGAAACAGCGGGCCGCAACCTTTTTCGATTTTCTAGTAACTTGAACTGTAAAAATTCTAAGGGAAATGGTTTGTGATTCCGACCCACGGGCTCAATAGAGTAGTTGATTCTTGCATACGTCAATCATTAAAACATTTTGTTTATCTACCTTTTTTCGGGAGCGAAAATTTAAAATACTGAAAAATATTGCACGAACTTTCGGTCCAACCTAATAAGCGCCAGTGTTTTGAGTTATTGACGAATCTTCGATTTAGAAGTTTCAAGCGAAAACGCCGTCTTTTGAGAAGAATAACTATCAAAAGCTAGTTTAATTTAGTTGGTTGGGTTAGGTTAGAGATTAATTAGGAGCTACTTTTGCCTTCATCTACAAAATTATCGCCATTTTTCAGGAAAGAAATGGCTGACGTTCTTTCCGACGATCTACTATCGCCAAATGTCAAGCGCCGGAAAGTTGTAGTCGAGAAGGGACTACTCGATCTGCCCGTGAATCTGATGCACGAGGTTTTCGGCCCGTTGGATGCCCGCAGCCTGCTCGAGACTGCCAAATCGCACGATACTCTGCGCAAAAACGTCATGGATTGGCCGGACAAGCGCTGGGAAATCGTTCATCTATCGTCCGACGTGGCCATCATCGACTACGAGACTTTTAACAGACGGGAAGCTGAGATTCTCTTGAAAAATACTCAGCACAAAAAGGAGATTTTTGAACTGCCCTACGACCTGATAAGGGAAATCATGCGGCCGCTGGTGACATTCGAGCAGATGTCGCTTGCGAAGTGCCATCCCAATCTTCTGCTGGCTACAAGAAATCTCCCGGGCAAGCAGTTTGAGAGAGCGAAATTCCTTCCGCGCAAAGTGATCATTACCAGCGTCGGCTACAATCGCAAGTGCGATTGGACGCACGGCGAGGTCGAGGTTTTGCTCAACGGTGCTTTCGTGCATCGGGTGGAATACACCGTAGAGACAAACATTGCGCTCGACATTTGCGTCAATTCGTTGACATTCCGTGGAAGACAGAAACATGCTCACAAATGCGCTGGATTGATCGAGGAATGGAAGCCTTCGGAAGTAATCTTTCCGAAGTGGAATGCCGAAGCCTTCAGATCGAACCCGGAATTGGCTCGGGTGCTGAAAGATGTCAAACGATTGGAAGTTGGCTTCCTAGCAGTCGAATGTTTGAGCTACGTCCCGGAATGGAAATTTAAGAGACTGTCCTTTCAACTGAACGCTGACGGAAAGTGTGTGACTGCGCAACTCGAATCCATGTGCCAGAAGCTCTACGATCAATGGAAATCATTGGAGCGCGGCGAGCTCTGGCTGCAAATTAAGTGCGACTCCTGTTTTGAGAGTTTTCAGTTAGGAGATAGCACCATCCGGCCCGGCTCGTCTGGCAATGCCGTACGTTCTGACGGCATGTCGTTGAGTTGGAACCTTTTCGATGCTAAGATATTGTTGATGAATGCGTTTTGGGAAGAGGAGTTCAATGACGACTACTACGACATGGATTATTAATATTAGTCTCTCCCTTCCCATTGTTATGCCTTCACTTTTTGTTGAACAGTGTTGATAAATATTTCATTGAAAAACGACCAATCTCTAAAAAAATCGAATACTTCATCGGCTTCGGAATATCTTTTAACTTTTCAGCATATATAGATATTTTTAGCAGAAAGCGGTTGACATCTAGAGGCTATAGTCCGGTCCACGCTTTTCACGTGGTTTTCTTTGTCTTGCTAATTTTGCCGGCGTTTTCCCAGTTCAATTCAGCCAATTCCACCAGTTCCAAGTTTCCGCGTTTTTTAGCTCTTTTCCATTTTCATGTCTATTTTTAGAAACAACCGCTAATTCTTATTAATTTCAGGTATGGCAGCCGAATACGACGAGCTGTCAATGTCGTTCGAATCAATGGGCCCGATCCCACTGACCCCAGTGCCGCAGGACGAGTTCGGCCCGGTGGTCGAGACGGGCGGCGCAATGTTGAAGCGCATCGCCGTCGAGACCAACGGCAAGATCGTCGTCGAGGAGAATGGTAGTCATTTTGCTGGCTATTTCTTTATTTACTTTCCTGGAAATTCATTGTTTTTGTTTCTTTAACGGTATTACTGAGTTCCAAGGTTTTTTGGCGGAGATGATTTCTAAATTATTTGATTTTAAAACGAAAATCAGCCGTAAAAAGGCCTTTTAATTGTTTTGGAATTTCCAGACTTTTTTCTTTCTAATTTGGAGAGCGCATCATTCTTTTTGTTTCTATTTGCGCGGAAAATTGTCGAAATTAGTTTGTTTTTGAAAGCTAAATTGGACTTTCAAAAGCAAAGCTAATTTTAGCCGTAAAAGGTTCTTTAAGAAATTTTTTTTGGAGACTTCTTTTAAATTTTCAGGAAGCGGCTGCGGCGCGGAGCCTATCGCCCACATCTCGTCGCATACGGAGGCCGGACTCAAAAAGGTGCACATTTAAAAATATTCATGAATTTTCCGTTTTTAGGCAACGTCCGCCTCCAACCAATTCTGCAAGGAACGGGCCCGAAGCAGCCAGATTGCCGCCGAAAAGACCGTCTACGTCGAGGTGCCCGCGGCTCGAGCCGTCCAATTCGTCCACGCCATTCCGTCGGTAATTTTTAAAAATGCTTAGAGTAGTTTTTTTCGGTTTTTTTCTGAGGTATCGTTTTTGATATTCTGCCAAATATCTTTTTTGGCGTTTTGCGTTCTCGGCGTGACCGAATTCTATTTTATTTGTTGTTTATTAGCCCTTATATACCTAATAATAAAATATAAATTATTCGGCACTATACTGGTTAGGGGGGGGCCACTTTGGGTACCTATTAGGAGAAACTTTTTTCTCGCTTTTTCGAGTCTTTCTGGGGTAGTTTTTTACACTGAGTGCGATTAGAGTCGCAACAGCATGCCATACCGTTGGGTTTATCCAGAAAAACTGCGTAAAACTTTAATAATAAAAAGTGTACTTATGCACAATTTGAGGCTTGCCGCATTGTCAGGCAAGGCGGGCCGTCGCTTCGGATGGGCTGCCGCTCCACTCTTCCGAAATCGGGGCGCCTGGGCGCTTCGCGCTCCTCGGGCGCCCCTATTTCGAAACCCTGTACGAGCTCGCACCCATCCGAAGCGACTAGGCCCCGGGTGGCACGAAGCCTTATTTTTAGGTCAATACCGAATGTCTGCATCTCTAACGCTTAACAAACGTTTAGATAATGATGTTTTACTACTCTGATTTTGTTATATTCGGAACCAGCACAAAAAACTAGCCTAGAAAGACTCAAAAAATCGAAAACAAAAGTGGCCCCCCCCTAACCAGTATAGTGCCAATTATTCTAGTAGCATTTTTCGTAAAATATCGTGATACTGCAAGTTCAAAAGCATTGAAAAAGCTCTAAAAATTCAATTTTAGTTATTTTTTATCATAAAAACAATATTTTGTTCATAAATAACAATTATCAATTTATATGTTTTTTTTTTGGGGCTGAGGTATTGTAAAATGCAGCCTATTTATATCATTAATTCGCAATTTTAGTCGAAATCGGCTATTTTTTGGGCTTGAAAATCAATGTTTTTACCAATTACCAAAAGACAATTTTTGCGTTTAGTAATTGTAAAAACCAATAATGTCCCTATTTACTTGAAAAAGAAAAATCACTTCGGAAAAAACTAACTTTTTAGATGAAAGCCGTGACGGGAGCGGACATCCGGTTGGCCGGCGATTGGGACGACGAGGGCCAGCCGTATCGCCTCTTCAGCATCACCGGCAACTCCGACGAGGTCAAGCAGGCCAAAGCGATTTGCCAAGAGGCGGTGGGGCTATTTATTTCCGGTAAAAACAAATGGGTTTTAGGCTTCCGACGAGCGCTACATCCCCACCGACGAGCAGCTGGCCGTCGAGACCGTCGAGCGGAATCCAGAAGAAGAAAATGCGACCTTGGCCACGCAGCGTACGTTTTTAGAGTTCTTTCGCATTATCGGGGGAGCGGCTTTTTCAAAGGATTGAATTTTTCTGATATAAATAGTGGAAATGCTGCAAAACGGTTTTTTCTATGCTTAAATGGCGGTGACTTTACAAATTTTGATAAAAAAATGAAAAAATATCTATTTTTGACAAGAAAAAACCGTTTTTGACAAAATTTTTACTTTTTTTTGGAAGTTTATAGATAGTTTATCTAGTTTAAATATAGTTATATTCTACTAAAACACCACTAAAATACTTCCTGTTCAGTTACTAGGCATTTCTACATCTATACAAGAAATCGGTCCCCCCGATAATGCCAAAGCACCGTTTTTCTAATTTTTCAGTTTATTTCGCCTCTGGCTTGCTTAAATTCAAATTTAAATTAAAGTAAACGGTTTTATTGGCTTT